ACAACCCGCCAGGACCCGATCCCACGACCAGCGAAATCAGCAATAGGCGCATGAGCGTGATCAGTAAACATCTGGGTCGGCTTTCGCGTGAGGGCCGTACCCATGCCCAGCTGCCTTTGCGGGATGATGGCTCATATTTCCATCCACGAAGGCCAGTACTTTGCCCCAGTTCTAATGGTGGCAGCCCATGAATAGTTTTTGTAATAGAAACCAGCCGGAAAAGAACGCCAAATAAACCATTCACGGGAGCCCACATCGTAGCGCACGTTCGGCCAGGACGCTTTTGACACGCTGGCACTGAAGGCCATCGGTAGAGTTCCTGCAGGGGTGGTGGCTTTGACATTGGGGTCGCGGGCGGTTACCTCACCAACCGTGACCATAGCGCCTGATTCTTCCACGCCCGCCGACATGAATGCCGCGCGGACGAGATCTTGAAACTGCGCCGCAGAGTACGGTTTCGGGCGCGGAGTGTGCGCGGCATCCAATGACGAGGCGAGTGAATCAGCCGGCGTAGCCCGTCATGAGCGGGTGCCGTCCCAGCTAAAACCGATGTTGATCTCGGTCAACGCGACCGGCCGAAGCATAAACGTTTGGCACTCCATTGATCACCTCCACTGCTTTTGTGTTGCCAGCACTTTTGGCATTGCCATCGATGCGCAGGGCGAACCGATTGATTTCGTGAGTCATGGGTCCACGTTCGACGACCCAATCCACATACGACAAGCCAATTGGCGTGATGCATGGTTTCAGCCTGCATCGCCGAGAGATAATTTCGCGCATAGTAAATTGCGTCGTGCCATTCATCGACAGAGGCATCAAGCTACGGGATATACAATCCGGAGCATCAGCCACCATAAGATAAATTCAGAGTAATGGTCGCGTTCGGCCACAAAAGGACAGTTTGATTCTAATCATGTTCTATTCACCCTACCGTTGGCAACTTGGAATCGGGGCTGCAGCGGCCACGTTCATCGGATGTTTAACGCCGGTTCTGAAACACGCTCTCTCTAGGTCGCAACAGAATCTTCGACCTGATCGGAATCATCCGAGTGTTGCAATATAAACAGCACGGAAACTACCACGCCGAAGCGGGGGTCGCTTCTGAAGGCCGCATAGGTTTCCAGCCAGCGATGCGAGAGTAGAAGCTTATCGATAGGTTTTTAAGATGAATGCCCGCGCCATCCATGCGCCATATCCATGAGCTGACCAATGACGCCAACAAGCGCACAACGCCGAGAAGGGCTATTATTGCGCGGTCGCACGATTCGCGCGCATCCTGCACGGCATTGCAGGTTTTCCGCGCTGGCGCGGTAAGACTTATAAAAGAATCGAGTCCGCCGCCAAACCACCATGCCGACTTTAATCCGGATTGCGAAAATAATAAAAATGCGCTCACGCCGACTACCCATAGACGACAGACATTGATCGGTAGTGTTTTAGTGTTCTGTAAGCAAAGGCCTGCAATTTTATGACTTTCGATAGGCAGATTACGGAGACCCGCCATTTGCCAAGCCGCGAGGATATGACCCGCTACGCGCAAAACCAAGCGCTTTTTCCGCCGATCCGACCACGAGACGTTTCCAACGCGGTGACTTGACGTCTTGTTCGCGAGGTGACACCAGTGACCTTCGCGTTTTGGATGATATCGCACGCCCTGCATGTCCCGCACGCACGAGCATACCAGCCCGAGGCGATCCGGCGTCATGACCGCGCATCTACCAGCGGCACGCCTGTTGCAGCGTCCGCCGGCCCGGCGGCGCCGATGATACGGAAAGCGTCAATTGTCGTAGTTTAAATGCGAATTTCATTTTTGAGGTGTGGCGTAACATCCCACGTGTCGCCATCGCGTATCAGTCAGGCGCATGTTATACGCCCGCGCCGCCGCATCGCGTGGCACCTCCGGACTGGACGCAGATGAAACGTGATGGCGCTGACTGTGAACCTAACGTTGTAATCAAGTCGTGGCTTAACTTTTCCGCAGAGTCTTTAGTGAAGTGCTCATAGAAATAACGGTGGCCTGGGCGATGCGATATAATTCGAACGCACGGATAGTCGATGTTTGCGTCGCTGCGTTACCGCCGCCCTAGCCAGTGCCCCTTCTCCAGTACGCGATATTTTTAATACCAGATGCTTTCTTCGCCCAGATAATCGGGCGGTTGCCAGGCCATGCAAACCGGCGCCAACGCTTGGACCGACGTCATATGTTTTCTTTGGCTCTGGGTCCGCGCCCATTGTCGACCCAGTTTTTTTCTGCCACTAAAAACCGTTTTTGAAAAACAGCCGCATGCGCGCACCATATCGGACATGTATTTATTCTCCAGTATTCCGAGTTGGATTGGTATGGCACCGATGATAGCCTAGGCAGTTACGTTATATAATAGAGCGAGTCGTCATAAACCGCAGGGATTTACGACGCACTCTTTTTTGTCGGCGGCCTTCCTCCCGACTAATTCCACCGTCTGCTTCACTTTATCCCGCGTCAGCACGGATACATCAGATAGAAGTATCAACAATCAGGTATTTCTGAGCATTAGCACCACTCAGGCGTGTTTTCACCGCAAGCATTAAAAATCGACCAAACTCGCGACAGGGCCCGGTTGAACGCTTCTGCAATCCATCATCTACCCGCCCTCGATATGCAGCGACCTTTATCTCAAAGGTGCCAAGTTGAGCGGTGCGCCTTGCAATGCGATGCGTCCCAACAAAGCCATCGACGAGAAGCGCAGACCAAAAATATCCATATTGGCGTTTTGCTCGGGTACATAACATTCATTTGATAATCGAAGTCCGAAGATGTCGCGACCTACGTTTGACGCTGATAACAACGTTATCAAACGGTGACAGAGATACCACTAGGCGACTGACTTCCGTGCGCCCCGTGTTTTTCGAGCACATCCGGGATTGATAATAAACTAGATCGCCCATTGGCTATCTCAGCGTTGTCAATAACCTCCCCATCGACGTCGCGCCGTAATTGGCATTGATAGCATCGCGCAAGGATTTGCCTTTAGCGCAGGTAAGTCATCCGATTTTGAGATGCAAAACCATGCGCGCGCAATGTCGTGGTCGATTAACGTAGTCGGCGTATTTCTGAAACTATGCAGGCTGCCGAGTTTCACTCCACGTCGGGCAAAACTCGCGTCGGGTAAACTCGTACACTTTTCTGCCAAACGCTCCCGGCTACTGACAGCCTCAGTTCCCCCTGCATGAAGCACTTGCTCCAAGGCCTGCTTGGCCGTTTTTCCAGTCCGACCGTTATTCTTTCTTGGGCCATTCTCGTGTATCTTCGAAGTCACGAGCACGCAACGAGCTCTTCCGCAGCGACACGTTCGAGAATAAGTTGGATTTAGTTTTTTATCGACGGTTTTGAAGCCAGCCACGTTCACCATCAGCGACAGGCTCATACGCCGGTAACGCGAACGATAAATCGCGCATCAGGCAACACGAGCGCATGAAACCAGTAATTCGAACACCTCGCTCTCGCACAGTTGGTCGAGAAATTTCGGTTGGTAATTACTCACACGTGACCACAGCACATGAATGTGGTGCGCGTTCCGACCGACCGAGATAGTATCAATTGGATATAACCGAGTGTTCTATTGGCGCGTAACGTGGCTTGCTTACTTCGACAAATTGGTTGCGTTTTTAAACAGCCCTGAGCGGCCAAGCCGCAATACGGCGTTAGTTTTTTGGCTAACGACATACCCCCTCAGGCCATACCATCACATTCGTCGCGTTGCCATTGGCAGTTTGTTTGAGTTGGAGGGCGAAAGTTCCACTGGTATTGGGCCCGATGCATCGGTACGTGCAAAGTGATAGAGAGAAAAACGTTTAGGTAGGTTCCCTGAAATTCGCAGGGTCTTGCTCACAATATCATCTTCCCTCAAAATTCGAGGATCGAGCGAGCGAATACCGAGTCGAGCACCCAGGCCAAAGTCAGATTCATATCCAATGCAACTGACAGCATCGGAAATTGACCTATCGCCAGCACTGAATGCGTCTTAGGCGTTGAATCGATAAAAAAAACGCAGTGAACGGGGGCGCCCCCAAGTCAATACGGGCATCCAGGTATAGCAGGCGGCTACAACGAAATCGAGATCCTCCGTAAGCACTGACGTCGCGGTGCCCGCAATGGTCGACTGACGGCATCCGTATTGCCTGAGCCGTTAAACCCGGCCGTCCAGGTTGATCCAGTTTCGAGCAGTTCGTAATAAAGCCGTAAACCTCAGTGTTGCTCATATCGAAGCGGGTATCGATATCAGCATTGGCGTTGAAGTTATCGTCGCCGTAAGGTAATATCAGCGCGACTAAGCCAAGTAGAACTTGCAGCTTGCATCGAGGTCGAAGCGACAATTCCGTGATATTTGGCAATAAGAGGCAGGTCAGGGTGTTCGATCTGTAACCCCAGAGCACACTGTGAGATTCATCATCAAACCCCAGATGCATCTTCGAATCGATAGTATCGCCATCGAGAAGATATAGTACCCGAGTAATCCGGCGTCCAGGCATTCAATTCCGGCCTGAAATCCGATGGCATCCGCTTGAACGCTGGTTGAAAGCAAATACGTTAACGCCCATTAACGTAAGGGCAGTTTTATTGAAATATTTTGATCATTTTGAAGTTCCGTTGTAGTTTTTACTGCACAATCTATCCCTCATATTTTATAAGCCCGTCAAACACAATCGTCCATTTCACGCAGATGCGCCTTTATTTCAGTGAGAAATGGTAACGGTTAGTACGCCTGGGAAACCATTATTCATCGGGCATAGTTAAAACCGCTGTTTAATCGATGGGTAACTAATATCGTTCAAATTGAACGGAATGTGTGTATGATTGTCAATTACTTGACGTCCGATCGATCAAAAAAATTTATGCATTGGCAAAAAGGCGCGGGCGGATTTCGCGCGCACAACTAATAGGCAGTCGCTGCGTTTATCCCGGCTCGGTGTTTGACCCGATTTCAGCCCGTATTGCCGAAGAACTCGGCTTCGAAGTTGGCATGTTTGCTGGCTCAGTAGCATCGCTGACTGTGCTTGGTGACCCGGACCATATTGTGCTGACTTTAAGCGAATTCGCCGAACAGGCTTATCGCATCAACCGTGCGAGCGAATTGCCGATTTTGGTTGACGCCGATCACGGTTACGGCAACGCGCTAAACGTCAAGCGCACGGTTGAAGAACTCGAAACCGCCGGCGTTGCGGCTTTGTCGATTGAAGACACCGAGCTACCTCGGCCTTTTGCTTCTGGCGGCAAGACCACGCTGATATCAATCGAAGAAGGGGTTGGCAAAATGCGTGCGGCCGTAGCAGGTCGGCAGGATCCGAATCTGGTCATTGCTGCGCGCACCAGCGCGGTTCAAGAGTCGTGGCTTAGAACTGTATTGCCCGATATAGTGAGGCCTTACGCAGGAACGCCCCGGGGCGTGCGATGCATGTTCCTCTCATTGGCATTTCTGACAAAAATCATCACTCGAAGCTATTTCAAAAACCTGCGATTACCCATAATCCCTCGGCGGTGCCGGAGGCGGCGGGTGTTATATATAAAGACTCGATTATCTCGGTTCGATGGGCGTGCACATTTGCCTGCCAAGGGCGCCATCAACCGCGGTTTATGGCTGGCCATACCCCGTGCACGCTACAACACGCTCAAGGCCAAGTTCAGCGTGACAGGCGGCTCAAAACCGGTCTGACGGCTTGAGGGCATAGGCGCCATAACGAGCTGGTTAAAAGTCACGATTTTCAAAGAGGCGACGACGCTATGATCGGACTGGATACAAAGCATCTTTGCTTGAAGTAGCCGATTCTCACATTCTCGCTCGGCACGGGCCTGGTATCTCTCGCAACAAGGCCTTGCAAATCTTTCTTGGGCAGGCGTGCATGGCAAGCCCCTGATTGTTGCTGCCAGTATCCGCCAGTTCAGGCTAGCTGGTCGATATGCGACGGTATCTGACAGAAGACCAGAATTCGACAACTAAAACGGCCTTTCCAGGGGCAGTACTCAGTGTAAGCGCCTATCAAAACCTTAACCGATAATACAACTCAAGGTCTTTATATTTTCCGGCTTCCACTGAAGTGTTCGAAACTCAGATGAATCCAGGCGTTCCGGCGGGCACTTCGAATGCTCGAAAAATAGCATGGTCAAGCATCAACTTAAAAACTAGTGGGCCTTGATCAACGATGAACAGGTGTGTGAGCTTCCCATCATGGGGTTTCTTTATTCGGTCCCAGGCATGGTTTGATCTGCGAATTGGAAACCGTATGCTCGAGAAAAGAAAAGATTATCAATCCAAACTACGCGATCATAGCCTTGGCGGGTGCAGTCGCGGTGACTGACGGTGGGCTGCCTTTCTTGATAGCGAAGGTTTCGACGGTGCATCAGGTTACTTTTTTGGTCAACACTTATAAGGTAAACCAACTTGACTAGTGCCGAGCGATAAGTTTTCAATCTTAAGTGGTTGAATATTATGCGTCGGCGCTGGAGTCCCACACGCGAAGAGACGTGTGCCCGCTATGTCCCTTTATTTGATGCCACTCATCTCAATAATATCGATATTTTTTTGTTTGGCATGTTCGGACAGAAACGTGCTCTCGAAGACAAGCATTATGCAATTCTAGAAGCGTCAACAGCATGTTACGCGCAACTCGCTTTACTCAGGCAGCTCCTATCTGAGGAAAATCTAATTCACCACGCAAATGGGCCTTTACCTGCGGTTACTGGAGGGGAAAATTGAATGCTTCCGAAGAAGTGGCAATACGACACCAGTTTTTCAACTTGTTTTAATCTGTTTGGCAGTGAATGAATTTCGTTGTTAATCGACCTTAGTCTTTGATCGGGCGGGCGTTTAACCATTGGCTGCGTGCTATTGAAATGAAACCGTCGATTCTCCAAACAGTAAAACCGCCATGCCAAATCACGGTAGCAATAACGAACATTATCAGTCTTGCCACATTAGGTTTCCGACCGACACAAGGCCATCGCCAGCGATTTCTACATAGCTGCCCTGGCGGCCACAGCACCGGCACTAGTATGCGCCATAAAGCACAGCCGGGCAATGCTTCCAGAATCGGTCGCAGCCAGCCCGATGTGGCGTATCTGCAAAGCCCACACAGAATAACCACCCAGGCGAGTGGCGTAAACTGCGAGCAGCCATCATCCGATGGCGACTAAGACACTGATATTGTTCAAGCACGTTTTGAAACGTCCGCGGACAACCGCGGCGATAACACCGATTACCCACTGAGAGATATCAAGATCAATAATTGGGCGTGCCAACTTCGATCAATATTAACGCTGCTAGGCCGGACCTATCCACGGCGTCGGGTCACCTTTTGAGGCCTTTAGCGAAGAGAATCATCATGCGTCCGCCATGACCAGCAGGCCAGTCGAAGTCGAGAGAACGGCTAATCCGGCATGAAGAAAACGCATTCGCCATGTTCAGACCAAGCCAGCTTGAGCTGAGCCAACTGAAGCATTAAGGCGATCATAGCCAGTCACGGTAGCCGAGACGGTCACTGATTTATCCAGGCCGGAAAGACGTCAGCGACACCGGGATGCATTCAGTATAAACAACATGATTATTCGTTCGGGTCAGGCTGTGACCATCGATAGTGGTGAGCTCAGTCGAATGCCCCAGGCATATATTGCGACTACTAAACCAGCGCTACTGACAATGCATAGTGGCCAAGCGGCAAAGGCGGCTTGCCCAACTCCAGCGAGGCAAACTGGCGCCGAAGCACTGAATACTAGACGGCACTGCATGAGCATGGAGGCCAGTGGCTTACGCCTGCGGACGATGCGGCACCCTACCGACATGACGCCAAACAAGAAAAAGTCGAAAATAAAAATAGAGGACAGACGAGGCGACATGGCCTAGCAACTAGGCTTTGATAAGTGGTCATAGGTGTCGAAATCTGGCCTAAATAATCGAAACTACCATCACGGACTTAATGTCCGAATTAAAGTAAGCGCCTAGCGCTAAACGCTGGATCGCCGGAAAATCGAATTAAAGGCTTTCGCTAGCCGATCCACTGCGGCAGTCTTTTCTCTATCAATGCAGAAAATAACCAGGCCGGATATCGACCCGACTGAGCCTTGAAAGGCTGCCTGAACCTCTTCAGTGTAATTGTTTACTGGTGAGGTCGCGGTGTCATCGCTGCAGCTGTGCTGGGGCATGTTCTAGATCGGATATAATACTTTGCGCGGGTTCTGTAATACTGCAGCTTCTTCGCTTTGTTCCGGCGCGAGCGGCGCGGTGTGCGCGAGTACAATGGCCAGATAAAATGCTGCCTCGGATTAATCGCAGTTCACCGGTTGTCTGCGTGAGGGCGATTTATCGTTATCGAGTAGCTTGCCGGTTGCCTGGTCGAGGGTATGGTAGCGACACTTTAGCTTTGTTGTTGCGGTTTTAATACTGAGTCTCCAAGGGTGAGACGGCAAGCGCCAGAACTACGACCAGCGATCCCCAAACGCAGGTGATTCTCTTCGATTAGCTGTTTGACGTGTTTTGGCGGCGGACCCGGAGCCGGCACGGTTCGAACTAATGCCGACACCGGCCATCACGTGCACGATGGCGCAGAGCACATTTTGCGCTGGTGCGAGCTCGCCATGATTGGGAATAGATCGGTCAAGGTAAATCGCGCAGGATATTGCCGGTACAGAAATCGTATCTTTGCCCGCGGATGCTACGCTCCAACGTATAACGCATGGCGCGCAGTGGCGACCTAGATTTTGATATCGACATCTCGATAAAATCATAATCCTGCAAATACAACTTCCACCGTTGTCGATGAGTTCGTGGTCGTCGGGCGGTAAGCTTCGTCGACCAAAAATACCGCTGGCGTCTCAGAGCGTGCGAGCGCGGTGAGCGCGATAGTTTCACCTAACCAGTCTAGAATCGGTGCATCTGTGGTCTGGGCACATCGCCAGATATCACCCTTTTCACATTCTGTTCATGTAGATGACGTTGCCCACTCTTCATCGAGCAATGGCGAGCAAGCGGCATTCGGCAAGTGATTTGTTTCGAAGGTTTTTTATCGGTGCGAAACCGTATTCTTCTGCCGTTTTGCGCCATCAAACCAACGTGCGGGGTAGCGGGTGCGCGCCATGGGTACGTCGGATGCGAAGGCACCGGTTGAGTTTTAGCAAAAATTGATTCAATTTCCTATGATAATTCGCGCGTCTGTACTCTCGGCATGACCCGCGGGTTTGGTGTCTTTCCAGAGCTTGCCAATCCGGGCGCCCCACATTTACCGGCCATTGACGATCATCGCGCGGCGATCGAGGCCCTCGGACGATGACATCGTTCGGGCGTGTAGATTCAGAGATACCTCTGGTCGAGTCGAACGCATGGCTACTCAGGACGAGCTGTCGTAACAGGAATGAATATCGTGTTCAAGGTGTCTTCGCGGAAGATCACGTTGCGAATCTTTTCGTAAACGCTCGCTAAGTGGCCGATGTATTGGGGTTGACACTCGCAGGTTTTTCGAACAAGATGCCCCATATTTTGGTGAAACGAATCCTGGTGTGAGACGAGGCCCTTGAGCCGGCGGTGGCGAAAGCAGCAATCGGGTGGGACGACCTTCCATCGATCGTCGGCTTTGACGTCAGCGAAAACATCACGGCCGGTGTCGCGCGTTCGGCGTCGGTTCGCTTTCATATTCGGGACTCGACCAACGCCTTAGCACTCATGAACATGCTGTCAAGTGAATACTCACCGTTCGGCGAAGCAATTCGGTTTTGTCCTTGAGGACGATAATTGTCGCCGCATGCGTTGGTTTTTAACGGCGCATCTTTTAACCGGTGCAAGCCCCTTATGCCATGGGTCAGTGGAACGCATTGTTTCGGGCTGCGATTGTTAAGGAAATGCCAGCCACCATTGCATGGTGCGAAAAACATGAGTGCGTGACGCCGGGCTCCATCCGTCTGACCATCCGAATGCGGAAAATTTTTGCGGGCGTTGCGCTGACCGCAGGTGGTGCACGCCTATCTGAATTGGCCTTCACGTAGTTACGGGTTGACTGCACTACCCTGATCTTTTGACCTAAACGTTTGTGGATGGCTAACTCTCATGCCGATTTGGGCTCTTCAGGATAATCGGGAATTTTGCAACAGCCTTTTTCCTAGGCAATCATGCACTGCCCAAAAATTAAATTGCGGAAATAGAGGCGCTGATATTTGCAACTTAATGATATTACGTGATCGGGATTTTGCCGTTACGCGACCTAACTTCAGCCAGACTTATTGGCAGTTTTTGTGTGCATCGGTGAGGAAATTTTCCGCCAAGAAAACTCTGCGATGAATTCTTAGGGGCGCCAGACCGATATACTCCTTTTAACGCATATCACATGCCAGCGTTGATGCGTACGACTAATGATTGCGGAAGTAAGGAGTTGGTTGGCAGAAGGGTGCTTCGGTCGGTTAAGTGTGTAGATAGTATTTTGAAGATTGTCCATAGTGGCTTTTAGTATCCCCGGAATGTATTAACCAAAAATTTTCACCTATCTAGGCGATAGAGAACGCGTGAGAGCAAAAACTTTAAAACTTACATTGCTGTATAATTGCTCGACCTGTTTGTACGAAAAGTGAAGATTTAGAGCATCTTATGTGACAGGTTTTTGATCTTAATACAGTAATTCTGGTTATGCCATTTCTGGCCGTTTTTTTTCTGATGAGCCAGGAGATAATTCGATT